GCTGGAAAAGCGTGTGGAAGGTTCGTGACGTTCGGACGATATTTGGCGACACAAAATGCGCGTTTTGCCAGCTCAGGGAATTCGGAGCGAGAGAAACGAGGCCCCGTAACGCACATGAGAGCAATCCCGGCCAATTTCTACCGTTTGATGGGGTCTATGTGTGCTGGAAAAGCGTGTGGAAGTTTCGTGACGTTCGGACGATATTTGGCGACACTAAAATGAGCGTTTTGCCAGCTCCAGGGAATTCGGAGCGAGAGAAACGAGGCCCCGTAACGCACATGAGAGCAATCCCGGCCAATTTCTACCGTTTGATGGGGTCTATGTGTGCTGGAAAAGCGTGTGGAAGTTTCGTGACGTTCGGACGATATTTGGCGACACTAAAATGAGCGTTTTGCCAGCTCCAGGGAATTCGGAGCGAGAGAAACGAGGCCCCGTAACGCACATGAGAGCAATCCCGGCCAATTTCTACCGTTTGATGGGGTCTATGTGTGCTGGAAAAGCGTGTGGAAGGTTCGTGACGTTCGGACGATATTTGGCGACACTAAAATGAGCGTTTTGCCAGCTCAGGGAATTCGGAGCGAGAGAAACGAGGCCCCGTAACGCACATGAGAGCAATCCCGGCCAATTTCTACCGTTTGATGGGGTCTATGTGTAAAATTTTGACTTTTTTTGGTGCACGAGCAAATCTGCTGGAAAAGCGTGTGGAAGGTTCGTGACGTTCGGACGATATTTGGCGACACTAAAATGAGCGTTTTGCCAGCTCCAGGGAATTCGGAGCGAGAGAAACGAGGCCCCGTAACGCACATGAGAGCAATCCCGGCCAATTTCTACCGTTTGATGGGGTCTATGTGTAAACATTTTGACTTTTTTTGGTGCACGAGCAAATCTGCTGGAAAAGCGTGTGGAAGTTCGTGACGTTCGGACGATATTTGGCGACACTAAAATGAGCGTTTTGCCAGCTCCAGGGAATTCGGAGCGAGAGAAACGAGGCCCCGTAACGCACATGAGAGCAATCCCGGCCAATTTCTACCGTTTGATGGGGTCTATGTGTAAACATTTTGACTTTTTTTGGTGCACGAGCAAATCTGCTGGAAAAGCGTGTGGAAGGTTCGTGACGTTCGGACGATATTTGGCGACACTAAAATGAGCGTTTTGCCAGCTCCAGGGCAATTCGGAGCGAGAGAAACGAGGCCCCGTAACGCACATGAGAGCAATCCCGGCCAATTTCTACCGTTTGATGGGGTCTATGTGTAAACATTTTGACTTTTTTTGGTGCACGAGCAAATCTGCTGGAAAAGCGTGTGGAAGGTTCGTGACGTTCGGACGATATTTGGCGACACAAAATGGCGTTTGCCAGCTCAGGGAATTCGGAGCGAGAGAAACGAGGCCCCGTAACGCACATGAGAGCAATCCCGGCCAATTTCTACCGTTTGATGGGGTCTATGTGTAAAATTTTGACTTTTTTTGGTGCACGAGCAAATCTGCTGGAAAAGCGTGTGGAAGGTTCGTGACGTTCGTACGATATTTGGCGACACAAAAAATTGCGATTTCCCAGCTTCAGGGAATTCGGAGCGAGAGAAACGAGGCCCCGTAACGCACATGAGAGCAATCCCGGCCAATTTCTACCGTTTGATGGGGTCTATGTGTAAAAATTTTGACTTTTTTTGGTGCACGAGCAAATCTGCTGGAAAAGCCTGTGGACGGTTCGTGACGTTCGTACGATATTTGGCGACACAAAAAATCGCGATTTGCCAGCTTCAGGGAATTCGGAGCGAGAGAAACGAGGCCCCGTAACGCACATGAGAGCAATCCCGGCCAATTTCTACCGTTTGATGGGGTCTATGTGTAAACATTTTGACTTTTTTTGGTGCACGAGCAAATCTGCTGGGAAAACGTGTGGAAGTTTCGTGACGTTCGGACGATATTTGGCGACACTAAAATGAGCGTTTTGCCAGCTCCAGGGAATTCGGAGCGAGAGAAACGAGGCCCCGTAACGCACATGAGAGCAATCCCGGCCAATTTCTACCGTTGGATGGGGTCTATGTGTAAACATTTTGACTTTTTTTGGTGCACGAGCAAATCTGCTGGGAAAACGTGTGGAAGTTTCGTGACGTTCGGACGATATTTGGCGACACTAAAATGAGCGTTTTGCCAGCTCCAGAGCAATTCGGAGCGAGAGAAACGAGGCCCCGTAACGCACATGAGAGCAATCCCGGCCAATTTCTACCGTTTGATGGGGTCTATGTGTAAACATTTTGACTTTTTTTGGTGCACGAGCAAATCTGCTGGAAAAGCGTGTGGAAGTTTCGTGACGTTCGGACGATATTTGGCGACACTAAAATGAGCGTTTTGCCAGCTCCAGAGCAATTCGGAGCGAGATGAACGAGGCCCCGTAACGCACATGAGAGCAATCCCGGCCAATTTCTACCGTTTGATGGGGTCTATGTGTAAACATTTTGACTTTTTTTGGTGCACGAGCAAATCTGCTGGAAAAGCGTGT